GGACCCACCGACTCGAATGAGTCCCACAGTGGACTCATGGCCTCCCACACTGCTCAAGTGTGGGTGGTTTTTGCCCTCCCCAGGATTCGAACCTGTGACCCTGAGCAATTGCATGCTTGGTGGCCTTATGCTCAGGGTCACAGGTTCGAATCCTGGGGAAAGCAAAAACCACCCACACTTGAGCAGTGTGGGAGGCCATGAGTCCACTGTGGGACTCATTCGAGTCGGTGGGTCCCCCGGGGCACGAGCCAGTCAGGGCCGCGGCTAGACTGGGCTCACCAGGCAGGGCCACGGCTAGCCTGGGCTGGGGGGCTGAGGGTTAGTTGAACCCTCATCAACGAGCAATCCAAAGGAAGTATACCGTAGACGCGAGCCCGGCCTTTGTTGCTTTTGTTCTCCAACCGGAGCTTGGGATTCCTTCTACCCACTTATACATATGACAAATGTTCATTTTAACTGATTTATTATTTTTTGTTTTAAAAATAGAGAGATAGTTTTTCTCATATACTTGAGTTTTAATTAGAAAAAAAATAATATTGTTTATTAAAAAATTGCAATGTGGCAGTTAAATAGATCCAACATTCTTGTTCTATAATATATAATTATTCAATGTTCATATATCAAATCAATAAATATGACACTAAATAAAATTAGTAATAAATATCATATACATATATACTTAAATATAACTTGTTTAAAAATTCGGCAAATATATAAAAAATAGATAAATTTATAAATGTAGTTACATTCTAAGTATTCTAATGGAAGTCTAGCATAATTAAATTATATCAAATTAAAATATAATGTAACTGATATATTCAATATATGAGATAATACAAATTACATGAATATCATATATTGTTTCAAATAAAATTATTTAATGTGAATTTTAATTAACCAAATAATAAAAAATAAACTCAAAATGAAGATAAAAAAAGACATAAATAAGATAAAAGAAAGTAGAAAAGGACTTAAGTTATGTTCAAGTATATTCATTGATTTAACCTAAAATAAATTTAAATTATTTTATTTTGGGACAAAATAATTATAAAGAATGAATAGAACATGAATTAAAATATTTTTTACTAATACAAATAGAGAGAAACCGATAAATTAAGGCCAAGACAAATTAGGAAGATCAACAAGACAAATAAGATAAAAGAAAGTAGAAAAGGACTTAAGTTATGTTCAAGTATATTCATTGATTTAACCTAAAATAAATTTAAATTATTTTATTTTGGGACAAAATAATTATAAAGAATGAATAGAACATGAATTAAAATATTTTTTACTAATACAAATAGAGAGAAACCGATAAATTAAGGCCAAGACAAATTAGGAAGATCAACAAGACAAAGATCCACATTAGAGATGTTAAACGGTCCTTGACCCGACGGGCCAGCCCGTTTAGCCCGAAAAAAAAACAGGGTTAGGGTTTTTATTGGTAGCCCGTTTAAATCAGGGCTTTTTAGGACCAAACCGTTTAAACCGAAGCCCGTTAGGGCTAGCCCGAAAACCCGCTAGGGCTGGCCCGTTTAACTTGAGTTGGCCGTTGTAAATGTTTGCAGCAAGTAAGTAATATGCTCTTAGATTCATTATATATTACAATTTTGCTACTTCACATGTAAGTATGAGTTGTAACGTATTATAATGATTTTGAAAGATAAATATTAATAATATTCTTATTGTACTCCACACCAAAATATTCAAGTCAATCAGAACGACTAATAGGAAACACATGAGACAAAGACCTTACACATGAAACATAGTGATATAATTTATAATGATGTAATATCGTAAAATTTTTCAAAGCGTATAAAATAAGTAGTAAAATGGTAATTGTAACTAATAATTCAAATATTTTTGTGTTTTGAAAAAAAAAAAAGTTATTTAAGAGTTTGTAGTGTGTGTTCATATATGATGTGTAGTTGTACATATAGAGCGGTAAATACTAAATAACGGTTGAAAACAATCGCTAATTAGTCGTTGTAATTTTTATAATTTTTATAATTTTATTTTTTGATATGTTTTGATACATTATTATTATTATTATTATTATTATTATTATTATTATTATTATTATTATTATCATCATCATATTATTATTATTATTATTATTGTTATTACTAAAGCTCGCATAGCCTGTTTAGCCCGAAGCCCGTTAAGGTTAAGGTTAGATCCTTTTATTGGTAGCCCATTGAAATTCGAGCTTTTTAGACTCGGACCGTTTAGCCCGAAGTCCGTTAGAGCTAGCCCGAAACTGTTAGAGCTAGCCCATTTAACATCTCTAATCCACATCATCATAATTTTTCTGATAAAACACTTCTTTCTTCAAACCAGACATCTTCATTTGTCTCATTCTTAAAAATATAACTCAAGACACAATAAGTGATTATCTTTCAATACAAAACATTTCCTCTTATCATACATGTTTTACATCCTATACTTCTGAAACTACATAACCTACGTCAAGTAAACTTTATACGAACACAAAACATAATGCTGGATACCTCAGAATAAAATCAGCAATTCTTGTACGCATAGTATTATCTACAGTAATACCGAATATATACTATTTATCTTAGTCACTGCATGTTTTGTGCTTTCATGTCCAGCGGAAACAATGTACAATCCTTTCATATATAAAGCATAAAACATGCAGTGACTAAGACCTTCTCCAACCGAACTCAAAAACTCAACTTTTGCTGTGAATTCTCCTCCAACCGAACGACAAATGCAGCTGCAATTTGCAATTTTGCCTTCTCTCTCCTCCTCCAAGAGCAAATTTGCGTCTGAACGCAAAATATGTGTTCACTCTTTTTTCTTTTACATTTTAGTCCTTTTATATGTTAATCTCATTTTGTTCTTTTTGTTTTTGCATTTTAGTCCCATCCTTATATGATGATTAATTAATGAATGTTAATTATATATTTACCAAAATAGTAATGTTAATGTAAAATACTATAAAATCTTTATCTCATAAAAATTAAATAGTATAATTTTTAAAATAATAAATATTATATTTATCATTTGATTCTATATTTTTCACAATAATAATATAAAATATACATATAATTTATGGTATTTTTATTTAACAAGAAAATAAAACACTAATATTAAAGACAACAACATTACCAATACTGTGTTTGTAATTTTTAATATTATTGTGTGTTGTATTTTTAAAATTTAATTTTCAATGACTTTTTATTTCTCCGATTTTATTATGTATATGATTATAACTTTATTATTAGTTTATTACATAAAGTCCAAATTGAATTGAAAATAATAGTATAGTTTAATTTGTAAAGTTGTAAAATATGTGGGTAGTATTGAAAAATTGTAAAAGTTGAAGTAGAAGGGAATATTCCGAGAATATTCTTTTGGGTTGGAGAATGGGTTTTTCGGTTGGAGATGAATTACTGCAAAATGGGATATGTACTGCAAAATGGGTTTGGGTATGGGGTATTCGGTTGAAGATGGCCTAAGGTAGGTATACTTTTTGTATTACTTTAGTTTACTGTATGCGTAAATAAACTGTTGATTTTATTTTGAGGTATCCAACATTATGTTTTGTGTTCGTATAAAGTTTACTACCATAACAGGGTACAGTCGTGGCGTAATATTTGTAATGGACCTGGATATTGATATATTATGATATTCGACCAGTGTATTTGCAAAACGTGCCGCCAAATGAGGATCAATACTATCACATTCGGCCAAGTGACACAACTTTAATTGTTTAATTGCTGCATTTAAATTAAATTTAGTTATGTCACTAACATTATGATCCCAAGCGTGATAAAATTGATTCGATTAAATACAAATCCATTAGGGAATGAAAGTCAACGGCAAGACATTTTCATTAATACTTAAACTAAGCATGAGCTTGAATGCTTTTCCTACTATAATATTCACACGAATCATATGACTTTGAGAAAAGTGTCAAGCAATCTTGTATAAAATTCGATCTAATTATGCTGAATTAATCAATCTTAATAAATTACTCTAACAGAATCCAACCTTTTCCGTTCAATTTGTTATTTTAAATTGGTATTTATGAATTTCAAGTTTAAGTAAGAATATTATTTTGTATTTTAAAATTTATTACCAAGTTGAAAAGGAGCGGATTTAAGCAAAAAAAAAAAAAGGACTACAATTTTTAATAACATCACACATTAGTATTTTGTTAGAGATAATTAGTATTATGTTATATAAAATAATAATAAAATTCTATAAGATAATTAATTATAATTTATAATATAATAATTTATAAATTCTAACTATAAAATAATAAATTATAATTTATAACATAATATCTAAATTCTAATATAATTTATATAATAATTAAAATTTGATTTAAAAAAACCCGCCGGCCGGCCGAGAAAACCGGCCGTGCGCAGTGCGGCCAACCGAGAAAGAAGGCCATGCACAGTGCGGCCAACTAGGAAAGAAGACCGTGCACGGTGCAACCAACTGGCAAAATCGACCGACACCGTTACGCCGACCGATTTTTCTTTTTTACTTTTTAGATAATATGTTAAGAGTAAATCTGTCTTTTGACATTTATGAAGTAGTGGGGCTTGTGAATTACTGAAAATTCTGTTTGTGACCCAACAAGAGCCCATAGATTGAGATGAATAAGTCCAGCCCATGAAACGGCATATAATCATTCCGTCGAGATTTGTAACTGTTACATGGTGTAACCGTCCTGAATAGATGAGTCCTGATAGATGATCTAACGGTTATACATCTCACCTGAATGGTTCCGTAACGGGACCATATAATCGTGAAATATATATAATTTGGCATTAAAATTTCAAGAAAATATATTTTTTTCCAAGAGAAGGTGGATCGCAGGATCAGTCCCCATATAAACAACTATTAGCTGTGTTTTGTTTAGCACTGCATAATCAATCATCTAGCTGAGGACTATCGGCAGTTTGCCATTTATAAGCACACATCGTTGACATTATCCGGCGATAAAACGAATTTGAGGGAAGATGATGTCCGGCAATTACACATCCATTGACAATCAAAACGTCTCCGGATCTGTTCCGGTAACTATTTTTTCCTCATCACTTTATTGTTGTTTTTGATTTTCTGGTTTCAGATCTAATATTCTTTCACCATTTTGCTTTTATTTGTAATTAATTTTTGTCCGGGATGTATGTTTGTTGCAGGCCGTCGGCGATCCGCCTTCCCACGTTGCCGTAAAATTTACCGGTTGGTCTATTTTTGTTTGTTTGTTTGTTATTTTTGCAATTTGTTAGGGTTCGATTACCGTGACTTGTAAGGAGAATACATTGTCTTATCGTTTTAGTTTAGACGAGTATAGTTTGATCGCGTTGTTCTGTGTGTCCAGATTCCAGTCTGCAGACGTTTCCGCCTGCTGGAGCTAAGGGGAAGATATCTGGTGCCTCGGGTCCTCCTCGTGACGCTGATGGTATTTTTTTGCTATTTGTTGAGTTTATAATTGATGTGATTGAGATTGATTTTCAGCTATTAGGAACTGTGCTGCAAATTGGAAAAGTAGAACTGTTTATGAGATGTATTCTTGTAAACGCTGCAGTACTAATTAGATAAATAAAGGGACAAAATGGTGGTGAAATAGGTCGTGAGGATAATTTGTTGCGTTGCTTTTTCTAATTGTAGATCGTGTACTTTTGATTTGTTATGTCCAGTGTTTGCTGATAATTGAGGATATGGAAGTTAAGTATGATCGGAGATTGAAGAAGTGGATTAATCTGTGTTGGTTGCTTGATCTTAAATGGCAGACATGTACTGTTAAAATATTTTATAGCTATATACTTGGGAGAAACTATATCACGGTTTTGAGAGACACCTAACTCGGGGAAGTTTATTGGCATGCATGTAATATGTATTGAGAACTCCAAAAACTATTATCAGTTACTGCTATTCTTTCCTATTGCTTTTAGTGTTTGGAAAGATAATCCTTTTGATCATCTGACAAAAAGCAAGCATTCCTTCTCTGGCAAAAGATATAGATGAAATCGTGAAAGTAATGGCACATAACTAAGTTTACTGAAGTTCATCCTAGTGGTGTTTTTTTCTCCCTCTTCATGTACTTCCTAAGTTTAATTCAATAATTTTACATTTACTTTTATTTTCTTTGTTATTCAGCTTATGATCTGTAAGCATAAGCAGGAAACTAAAATAATGCTCTATCTGTTAATTTAGATACATTTAGCAAACCTATGTCTGGTTCGGATGAGCCCCAGCAGAATGGTTGGTTCCGATCCTTCACTATTGCTGCATACAGGCCCTACTTTGATGTTGACACGTCTGATGTTCTAGAAAGGATCAGAGATTCACTCTTTCCTTTCAGAGGAAGCTTCTCCGAAAAGACTGCAGACAACCCAGATCTGTAAGTCTCACTATGTTGGACTGGTTTCTTACAATTAATAGTCTTTCAATGAGTACTTGATTATTTGCTTTGCTTTATATATATGTATGTATATATATATATATATATATATATATGGAGCCACACATATCGAGTTGATAATGAAGTAACGCATCTTCTGATGGATCATCACACAAAGGGTCAGTTAGACTTTGACCCTTTGTGGATATTTTAGGTCTAGGCAATGCTTCATGTGTATATCATCTAGGTGTAACCAGAAGTTCTTAACTTGCTATTTAGTTTATAGCTTACATCAGTGGTTCAGTTTTACCATGGTCCTCAACAATGACCTAGAGTGTATGATGAATGGGATTTAATTGGAAGAGAAGTAGATAAAAGAATATAACTACCCCATTCTCAAACACTTTTGCACACTGCCTCCGAAACCAGCTTCATTCGACTTTTGCAGCTTTTGTCTTGTTTTGAATCGGTTGTCCAATTGCATTCTTTAATTTGTTTTAATTTTTTATCAAAGACATTGTCGACATTTTCATTTATTGTCGGCTACTACTTTGCTCTGAAAACTTAGAATCAAACATTATGCCAGGTACGGGCCTTTCTGGATATGCACTACCTTGATTTTTGTGGCAGCTTCTATTGGTACATTTGTCACCTACATAGCACACAAGCTGCAAAAGAAGGAATGGGACTATGACATCAATCTCGTGACATGGTCTGCTGGTTTGTTCTATGGCTATGTCACATTAGTGCCTCTTGCCTTGTATATTGTCCTCAAATACTTCTCTGCCCCATCTGGCCTTGTCCAGTTGCTTTGTCTGTATGGCTACTCGTTGTTTATCTTCATACCTGCTCTGGTAAGATGAATTTTTTCCTTTCCCTTTTTTTTCTAATTCATTTTTTATTTTTTTTTCATTTACCCATTAGTTTGGCCTCTCAACAGGTATTTCCATGTAGATGTTGTAGTTTTAAGACTGTCATTTGTTCCATTGTAATTTACCTAGAACGCTACAGGTGTTTTTTCTGTATTTTCTATGGGTTGAAAAAAGTGATTAGGTTTCATATCGTGCTATATATTTCAGTTATGACTCTTGCAAGCTTGTGCAATTATGTGTTCTGTTCTCGTGCTATAGTCAAGTCCCTGACCGGATACAAAGTTGCAGTTAACACTGCACCTGTAGAAATAGTGTTGCCCACTTAAATTTGATGTAATTACTTAAAACCCAGTTATGTTTCAAAATTACATGGAAGCTTCCCCACCCCTGCCGTAATAGAAACAACTCTCATTTTTTCAACGACCCCCTGATTGAGGCTGAAATTTGTGAAATATAAACAAATATGAAGGCGGAACTCTGAACGATGGACCTGTAATTAGAGTAACTCAACCTGTACGGTGTAATAATTTTTCTTACGGTTCTATCCATAATTGATAATTCTTGTTATATTAGGTTCCTTTACTTTTCTGGACAAGATTTAATCAGGTGGCACAATACTTTTCTATTTGCTTGCAGTGTTTATCGGTTATTTCTCAGGAGATCTTCAGATGGGTCATTGCCGGGGTGGCTGGTTTCATGTCCGCCTCGTTTGTGGCCCTAAACCTCAGAAACCACATTAAATCTGCCGGTGAGAGTTGGTTCCTGATTGTGGCCGCTATCTTCCTGTTGCAGCTTGCACTTGCTCTGGCCCTTAAATTCTATTTGTTCACAGTCACCGTGTAAGAACTAAAACCATCACGAATTAGGTGGCTCGAGCATGTTAGTGTGTCAAACTGTGGACAACAGAAAAGTATGTGCATGCATATATAAGCTGCGGCCTTATTGTATTCATTCATTTTCGACAGTTTTGTATGTGGTCTATGATGTGGATGAATGATACCTGGTCTAACAGAAGACCCCTACTAAATATATACAACTTTGAGTTAATTGGCTTGATCTTTTGGGGAGCTATTTCTGGATATTCGGATCTGTTGCCTAATATATTTCATCCATTTTTGTAATTACAACTTCCTGTATAAGGTTTATCCCAAATTCTCAAGTATAACGCTTGTTAGAGAGGATTGGATAGGATATGGGCTGATTTCTTGCGTTTGTCCTTTTTATTTTTTATTTTTTATTTTTTTTTAAATAAGGGGCAAGTATA